CATTGCGATAGTCTAATACGCTTTGCGATTTTCTCGTTGCGATAGTCAAATACCCGTTGCGATAATCAAATTCGCGTTGCGATAGTCAAATTCGCGTTGCGATAGTTAAATTCGCGTTGCGATTTTCTCGTTGCGATAGTCAAATAACCGTTGCGATAATCAAATTCGCGTTGCGATTTTCTCGTTGCTATAGTCAAATACCCGTTGCGATAATCAAATTCGTGTTGCGATAGTCAAATTCGCGTAGCGATTTTTGCGTTGCGATAGTCATATTCGCGTTGCGATAGTCAAATTCGCGTTGCGATTTTTGAGTTGCGATAATCAAATTCGCGTTGCGATAGTCAAATTTGCGTTGCGATATTCAAATGAATGTGTAATAAGTGATAACAACTTAACATATCATAGCAATGTTCAAACTCAAGTTACTAATACATGCCTAACTGAAAATGTTAAAAGTTTACACATAATACAACGTTTACATTTAAAAATCACCTAAGTTAATAGTCCCAAAAGGTGAAGCCGATTGTGATTGGGATTTTGATTTTGATTGCGATTTTGATTGCCTTTTTCTTGACACCATATGAGCTTTGGATTTTGATGAGTATCTATATTTTGGTAGAGGAAAAGATGGTTGTGATGGAACTGGTGATCCATATGTCAACCTTATATGACCACTTTCCTTGCACCGACTACATGTCGATCTCTTCTTCTCTTCACCCTTAGACGGTATACGATCGTGACTTTTTGGTCGGCCAGGTAGCCTTCTATCCATGGCTGGTGGTAAAACTATTTGTAAGTCATCTGGTATGTCTCACTTAGAAGGATGTGGAATAGGGTAGATAATCTCGGCATAAGTCTGTTGATATACTTCTGTAGTGTAGCAATCCATAGCGTATGTGCTTGAATCATCTTGGTTTAGATGAAGAGTAACTTTTATAACATGCCCACACGAATAACCAGATGTTTTTCATTTCATACAACTACACGTCTTTGCATTTAGAGCAACAAGCTCATTTAAGTTATTATTCAGTACTTCAAACAAAGTGTTTGAACATGGTTCAACTCTCCATGACGTTGACTTCACAACACGTTATGCTATCTTTTTTTCAGTCCATGGGGTAACACGATGTTCCAATGTTCCTGTAAATTTAAATAAATAATACTTAATAAAATATATGATAAGTTACGAATTTAAAGAAATAATACCTGCATGGTTTCTTTTCTTGTAGTACCACTGTTGAATAGAGGCTATAAAAAATCCATTAACATAGTAATGGGTAATTTCCGGGAATGATGACTTAGAGCGTTGATTGATTCTGCACTATTAGACGCCATGAAACCATATCTTGCTCCAAGTTGATGTACTCTTGTCCATCTTTCAAACCCGACATCTTCTAGTGTTTGAGCACACTGAGACAAAACACTTCTTAAACAATTTATATGCTTATTAAAATCCACTTCCCGATAAGCTTTTACAGCCTTCCAGTATGTCCATTTGTGATTTTGTATACCAGCAGACCTTGATTTTAGATTTCTATATAAATAAACACCACAAAGTCCATGAAAAGCATCTGGAAAACACTTTCTAACAGCGTTGTAAATTGAGTTTGCCCTATCGGATATGATTGTCAAATTGCTAATAGGACCTATGCAATCCCTAAGATGCCCCATAAACCATGTCCATGAATCAGAGGTTTCAGATTTGCCAACCCCGTAAGCTATTGGCAGTATCCCATTGTTAGCATTCATGGCTACTGCTAATAAGTTTACTCCAAGGTATCGACCTTTTAAATGTGCTCCGTCAACTATAATAACTGGGCGCATGCAAGTAATAAATGAACGAATCTACAAAATCATATACAGAAGAAATATAATCATTTAAATGTGAAATGCATGTAACTAACAAAAATGAGTCAACAAAATTATATTGATTTACTAACCGCAGCACCAATGGCGATAAACAGCAACTCAAAACGTCCATCTCTATCTGTTTTAATATGAGTTACCGACCCAGGATTTTTTAGCTTTAAATTGTGACAATAAGCCGGCAGTTGGGCAAACGATGCTTCTGGCGACCCCCTCAACAATTCCAAGGCATAACATTTGGCTCTCCAAGCTTGAGAATATGAGATACTAATCTTGAACCGAGCATTCATGTCAGTCATAATTTCATGTCCCCGATATACCCTGCCATTAAAAATCATTAACTCAGCCAGAAAACCACCCAACACCTTTTTGTTTGTCTGTCTATGGTGAGGAAAAACTTGGGTTCTTGAACATATATGTTTATCAATAAAAGTCCTAACTTAAAACATTTCACAATCTTTTATCATCTTTGCAATCATACGCCATGTACAGTTTTTGTCAATCATACACCTTGTTTCGAAACGATCTTTTCTTGATTTGTTAACTTTTAGTTGATAGCCATCTTCCACACATTTCGTATACAAAGCTATCTTCAAGTCTTCCTTTGTATCAAAACAATCATCTTTCTTGATACGAATAATTTTTGTGTAACAATCAACTGCTATTTTTACCAACTCTTCTTCCGGTATCTGAAGTAATTCTAGCATATTCCAGTTATACTCCCGTAGCATTTTCTTCGGGGACTTTTCTTCGGGGATTTCTTCTTCTTCTTTTTATTCTTCAGGGCTATATGAATTACAGAATGGATATTCAACATGTTCATTCACATTCGTAACTTCCTCCTCATTATCATCAACATCTTCCTCGGCAGCGGCTGTTTCATCATCAAAATTGGGGTATTGACCAATATCAAAATCATTACACGCAGGGTCTGTTTCTTCTTCTGAGACATCATCAAAATCCGAGTATTGACCAAGATCAAAGTCCGGGTATTGACCAAGATCAAGTTTCGAATACCGACTAGTACTCATAATTTTTTCTGTTGGCTCATCATCGTCTAACTGATTAATACGAAAACCAGAATTTAGTGCTGAAAGTTGATTGGGATTTGGATTAGGGAAAGGTTGTGGGTTTTGAGATTGTGTTTGGTATTGGAAATGTGGTGAAACAAAATTTTCTTGGTGATGAAATTGTGGTGGAACCATTAAATTTTGAGCACCATAAACTGGGGTCGAAAAACTTAGTTGATTACTACCCGCTACTGACCCAACTTCACTTCTTCTAGGTTCAACAACATACAATGTAACATCATCTTGCGAAACACTAATGTAAGAAATGAATCGTTCAACATCTTCATTTTTGGTTAACAAAGAAACTTTACCTTTTCTCTGATAAGATAGCTTAAATCCACTTAAGGGCTCTAAATTCAATTTATTTGCAACACGTAACATTAGAGTTTTATAAGTTAACTTTTTTAATGACAGTTTTAGTTTAAGATTCATGGGTAAAGGCATATATTGTAAAACACTATGAACATTCTCTCATGACCTTCCAAAACACAAATCTATCCAAACATGATCAACATTAGATGATTTCATTATTGTAAATTAATTTACTAAACAAACGAGCTGCGAAACTAAAACCTGTTGTCGGATGGGGAAGGATGTCGTTGGATATAGGAACGGATGTTGCCGGAGAGAGTGATAGATGGAGATGGAATGAGTTACGATTTAGGGATTTAGGTTATGAGTTGCTTCTGCTGCGTAGTTATATACCCAAAACATTTGTGTTGCGAAACTAAAATCTGTTGTGAATTTGAAATTCAGTGTTGCGACAGTCAGAATCGCGTTGCGATTATGTATTATCGCGTTGCGATAGTCAGAATCGCGTTGCGATTATGTATTATCGCGTTGCGATAGTCAGAATCACATTGCGATTATGTATTATTGCGTTGTGATTATGTATTATCGCGTTGTGATAGTCAGAATCGCGTTGCGATTTACATATTCGCATTGCGATAGTCAAAATCGCGTTGCAAATCTGGAAACTGATTTGCCATACTGGAGATCGCGTTGCGATTTAGAGATCGCATTACGATTTTGTTGGTCATTTTGGCAAATCGAAAAAAAGTTGGCCAAAATCGTATATTATAAGGAATTTTCGGTCACTGAGGTTATTTTCTCTAAAAATAACCAGATATAGAATTATGACAAATAAAAAGGATCAAAAAAATGTAAGGATTTCCAAAGGATTCACAAGAAGATTCCTTTGTTTCATATGGGAAAATCTATCCTATCCTTCTTTGTAAAAAGCATGCTAGTGCTTGCACATCTTTAGAGGCCAAAACCACAAGAATATTATAAAACTAATTTCCAACTTTCCAACTGCATAAGCAAAATAACTCCTTGTACAAGTCTTTCAGACACAAAATTTGAGAACTAAACAGAACATGTTTGAAAGAAGAGGTTTGAAATAAGAGACATACTTCTCAAATAAATTGTATGTTTCTAAAATATGGATAGACCTATGTCTTTCAGACTTTATTTTTCTTTAAGTACTCATGTCCAACACGCATTCGAGTTTAAAACAGCAGCTAAGGGAAAGGGATATTTCATACAACCTCAAAAAGCAATTAAGGGAAAGTAATATTCATTCAACCTTAACAAGAGGCCTAGAGACAATATCCCAATGAAGTAAATTAAATATAAAATGGCATAAGGCTTACCTTTATGCACCCAGGTGTATTAAGGTAGTCATAACAGAATTCCAAAATGAGAACATTCCAGGAGTGAATGGCACATAGAGGTAGAAAATAAACAATTTCAAAAAGGCCATATCAGTTTCAAGTTCAAATCATTTCATTATTGTTATTATTTTTTATATGAGCATAACAAATACGGGTCTGGGGTCTTTTTTTTAAATATTCTATTATTTGTATTAAGTTCCATCTATTATGGATTTAGATAAGGTTGATCTCAAGTTTGGCTCATTGGGGGTTCAGTTTGCTGTGAGTTCAAGTTTGATTCTTCCATATGTGTGTCTGGATTTGAAAATTTTCAAGCACGGTTTCGTATTCATATTCATTTTTTCAACCCCTATGGCAAATTATAGAAGAGTCAAAAAGAACAACAAACATGAAGGTAATTGAAGATATCCATTGTTGTTACTCTTGATCCTCCTTCTTGTAGCCTCCAAATCCATTGATAAAGTTTTTCCTGAAAGCAAGTTGAATCAACTATTAGCATAAACTTCTAACTCCGAGCTAGAAGCACTTCATAGATGACTTAATATGCAAGTTCACAAATAAAGGCTGAAAAACAATTAACTTAATAGGTTTTACACTCGATGTTGTGTGAAATATGCATAGGCCTTTGCCCTTGACAAAGGAAACATGGAGAATTTATATATGACATTCAAAGTCCTCTTTAGAAATTAAACTTCTAAATTGAATACAATAATTCCGAAGCACGTAATCACATTATATTGACACTAAAAGGAGTTAACGTCAAAACTCTAGAAGGGTTATAAATTAGCTTGTTGCATGACTCAATGACTAACACAAGTTTCAAGCTATAAAGGGCACACACTTAAGCAAGTGATATGATATCAATGGTTCTGTTAGCTTCAGTACATCAATTTCCACACTCCTCCGCTTTCAAAAATAATGACAGTGCAATACGAGAGTACTGAGCCTAAGAAGGGAAACTATAAATTCATTTTGTTGACGTTGCCTTTGTTATAAGGTATCAGTGCCAATCAAAAGATTAGCTCAAGTCGAAACTCACCACGGGTTTAAACATCCCATAGCAACCAGTTGCCCGGTTCCACTCTTACAAATAAGTACATTACAACAACAAATCAACTTATTCACCGCACTTTTTTAAGGCTTATTATCATTTAGGCTTCTCAAATAAAATGCACCACACTGCCTTCAAGCTAAACCACACAAACATACAAATGCAATGTATCCGGATACACGGCAAGAGGAACTAAAAAACCCTAATCATATCAATCCACAACCAGCAAAAACCCATAACCATTTTCGCATAAAAATATATATTTTTAAACACAATTATTAACTTGTAAATAAAAATAAATAAAACAGGTTTGATTGATCAAAAGCGTATCTTTTAGAACCACTCAAATAAAACCCAAAATCAAGATTAAAAAACAAATACATAAACCCATCAGGCTTATATCGCATACAAATAGAAACCCAGATTCAATATATATATATGTATGCAAAAAAAGAGATGAAAACCCATCAAGCTAATATTGCATACAAATAAAAACCGACAATTCAATCAGTATATATACGTACACACACATAGAAAGAGAGGGGGGGGGGCAGAGAGAGTACAAGGCTACGGCGTTTGCCAGCTTGGAAGGAGAGTTTCTGCTGGTTCATGGACTGAGTATAAAGCTGAGACAAAGAATTAGCGGCGCTGCAAAACGAAACGTACATAGTCCGATCCACCTCATCAAGGCTCGTCGCTATTGACTTCCTTTTCTTCCCCATATATTTTTTCCCGATTGGGTTTTTTGGCGGTCGACAAAGGAAGGAAAAAGAGAGGATTTTGATTTCTCCCCTTTGTTTTATTAATTGGGTTAAATTGTTGTAGAGAGAAGAAAGGTTGCTTCGATTGTTGTAACTTTATATTAACGAAAAAGAGGTTGCATGGAGGTTGGACACTTTAACCAGTGCAGTTGAGCCGCGTAACATATGGATATTGGATCCAGCTTCATTCAAGTGGGCATTTTGAAGGTAGGAACAAAGTTGAAATTTATTTATTTTTGGATATAGTACACAAATAGTTCTCAACGATAATGCGTTAATTTGCTGAGTTATTTAACTATTATAAATTATAAAATAGTGCTTCAACTATATGGCATTGCTTTGTTGGGTTCTCCGATTATTAAAAGTTATAAAATGGTCATCAGACTATTCATATGTTCCAAACTTGTCCTTTTTTTAAAAAAAATTAGATGTTGTCTAAGCTAGAAGTTAACTTGTTGATTGAGATATGACAAAATTTGATCCTAGAACCGTTTGAGTTGTATTTCGTGTATCAACTCTTCGTTTACATTATGTTGTTGTGTAAGTGCTTGAAACATTATATCATCGAGTCAATGAATAAAAGCAATGGCAGTGCTAGTAGACATTATTAAAATATGATTTTATCATATCCCAATCAATAGGTTGACGTCCATCTCAAAAGATCGTAAATGTTTTAATAGAAAATGATAATTTTGGAACATATGAATAGTCGAGTGACCATTTTGTAACTTTTAATAGTTAGGTGATTCAACAAAACTATATCCTATAGTTGGGGGACCATTTTGTAACTTATAATAGTCGATGGTCTCAACAAAGTATCATCCTATAGTTGGGGGACCATTTTTGTACTTTACCCATTATTTTATTAGTGTTTAGGGATATTCAATCGAGTTGAGTCAAGTAAAAAAAATTGAGTTAGTTAAATTCACAAGCTTTATTTTATGATTTAAATTTTATTTAAAAATATTTCGAGTTGAATCTAGTTATTTGATTTTTTAGAAAATTTAATTATAATTATTTATAATATTATGAAACAAATTGATTCTAAGTTAAATAAAAACTTCTAATCATATAAGATATATGTAACCCCTTTACTAGACTTATAGGAAATAGGTCAGATCCATAGAGTCTATTTGAAAATTTGTCCCTCAAGGAAATCATATTCTAATAAACATCTTAAAAATAGCAATTAAATTATTGAAACATAACACAAATGTTCAAAGTTCATAACTTTCAAATGCTTGTGAAAATCCGTAATAATAATAATAAAATATATCGATAAATGCATGTGTCACACCCCAAGTTTTGGGTTAAATTAAAAAGTTCATAAATTTTTGGTGTTTTTTGTGAGTTTTTGAAAGTTTAGAGACCGAGGGTATAATTTATCCAATTTCTAGGGTAGGTTAATAACCCCACTCTTTCTTCTTTCTTTTCTTCATGTTGTTACTATTACTTTCTCACTCTCTACCTCATTTTTTGCTTTTTCTTTGGTTCGTCTCTAACCGAGTGGTGGTGTATGACACCTCCGGTACCATTGTTTTCGTCTCATCGACCCCATTTGTCCAGTGTCCTTGGATTTTCGTTCTCCGTCATTATTTGCAATCGGTAACGGATTGAATATTCGGGTTTTGTAAAAACCCCATCTCCATTGATCTTTTAAAAAAAACCGACGTTTGTAAGTGACTTCTTGTGCTTTAAAATATTTTCCTGCATTTTTTGTAAATTTTTGGCCACCGAAACAGTCCCCACTTGCCCCACGCGTCAGCATGAAAGAGTGGGCTTCGTCCTAGCAGTTAAAAAAGTGAAACGGTTTGACCCGACCCGTTGACCGAACCGAACCGGACCAGTTGACCATTGACCGTTTACTTTTTTCTGAAGATTCTTACCTTTATGTTTTTTGACGTCCTAAGTTCGTTTTGCCAAATTTTAACCTGTAACCCCCGTTTTGCATGATTTATTGCTTAAAGTATTGATTATGTTAAGTAAATTATGAGGTTTTGGACTCATTTCTTGTTATTATATTCTGAAGGTGAGCTCGGGTCTCCGCATCGCTCTCTGATAGATCCCGATCGTTCTCACCGAGCTCAGTTCAATTTCGTACATTCGTCTCGAGATTTACTTAAGTGTTGTTAAGTGATTTAATGGTCTATTTTTATTTAGATATATAGTTATATACTCATAGGATGGTATGTTATTTTTAGGGCACTATTCCGCATGACCTAATACTACCGATTGTGGGAAATGTAAGGCTTAGTTGGTAGTGTTTAGTTACTATAGATGCGTCCCTTTTACTCAAATTATGCCTTTATAAATTTTATGATGTTGTATTATATAATATCATTAGTAAGCACAATTGTATTCTGATTATGACGATATGGAAAATGTTTGATTTTTGATTGTCGATGTATCATTTTTGAATTATATACCAATGTATGTATGATTCTGCATGGGATTATATCCCCGTCCTGATTCTACATGGGATTAAATCCCCGTCCTGTTTCTATTTTGTGATCCTCTTCGAAGGACTATACAGTTTACAATGATTTTTCACACACTAGTTTGGGTTCTGGTCTGATGTAGGATGGGAGAGTAGTAGTTTATGTGTCTCTTCAGTTGAAGCCGCATGAGTGTAACTACCCTACTCATGATCCAGAGTTAGTTGTGGTGGTGTTTGCATTGAAAATCTGGAGGCACTATCTTTATGGAGAGAAGTGTTATATTTATATTGATCATAAAAGTATGAAGTACTTGTTGACTCAGAAGGATCTCAATATGAGATGGCATCATTGGTTAGATATCCTAAAAGACTATGATTTCAAGATTGAGTATCATTCTAGGAAGGCTAATGTAGTTGTTGATGCGTTAAGTCATAGGGAAACTACTGATTTGAGAGCTATGTTTGCTAGCATGAGTTTGTATGATGATGGTACTATGTTAGCTGAACTCCAAGTTAAGCCTACTTTGGTGGTTGAGATTAAATCAAAACAACCTATTGATGTATCCTTGCTTCCATTTGTGAAGTGAGCTGAGCAAAGTTCTGATTCTGAGTACACCTTTGATGAGGATGTTGTATTGTGCTTCCGAGGACGTTATTGTGTGCCAAATGATTCTGAATTGAGAAATTCTATTTCACAGGAAGCTCATGATAATCCCTATTCCATGTATCCTGGTGGTGTTAAGATGTGTCAAAATCTCATAGAAAGGTATATTGGTGTGGTTATGTGGCTAAATATTTGACATGTCAGTAAGTGAAAGCTAAACATCAATTTCCAATTGCTTTACTTCAACCCATCCAGACTCAGGAGTGGAAATGGGAGCCAGTTACTATGGATTTTTTCAGTGGATTACCTTTGACGCAGTCTAAGAAGGATTCATTATGGGTTATTGTAGACCGTCTTACTAAGTATGCTCACTTCATTCCAGTTCAGACTAATTATACTTTGGACAAATTAGCTCGGTTGTATATTTCTGAGATTGTTCGCCTTCATGGGGTTCCCTTATCCATTATTTCTTATCGATATCCAAGATTTACGTCACGATTCTGGAAAGCTCTTCATAAGTCTTTAGGTACTCACTGAATTTTAGTATGACTTAGCACCCACAATTAGATGGTCAGTCTGAGTGGGTTATTTAGATTCTGGAGGATATGCTTAGAGGATGCATTATTGATTTATGGGGCAGCTGGGAGGATCACTTGTCATTAGTTGAGTTTGCCTATAATAATAGTTATCAGACCAGTATTCAAATGGCACTGTTTAAGGCCTTGTATAGTCGTAGGTGTCGTACTTCGTTAAGTTGGACTGAGTTATCTAAAAGGAGTGTTATAGGACCCGATCTTATTTAGAAGACAAGGAGTATTGTTAGATTGATTCAAGATAGTCTCAAGGATGCTTTTGATAGACAAAAGTCTTATGTTGACTTGAAGATACGAGATATTGAGTTTAATGTGGATGACTGAGTCTTTCTGAAAGTATCTATATGGAAACACATTCAAAGATTTGGCCGTAAAGGTAAGTTGAGTTCGAGGTTTATTGGACCTTATCAGATTCTAACCGGGTAGGACCTGTTGTATATCAGCTCAAGCTACCGGTTGAGTTGGAGTGTATTCACGATGT